ACTGTCGTTATCACCCCCTTGACCCTTGTGCTGGGAATGTTGACCAGAGTCTGTCATATTGTTACGTAGTGCTTCCCTGGGTACTATCAAAGTCTCCCTCTTGCCCCGTCGAGTCCGTCTGTTATCTCCCTGGTACATGTGTTTCACTCGATCTCTGCCCCCTTTCCCATCTGTGCTACTCGAAGCGTAATTCGTCCATCCCCTGCATCTGGGTAATTTATTAGAGGCTAAAGCTTCAGAGTAATTCTCATGGTCATGCCTCTGCTACATGGACCACATCTCTTATAAAACCTACTTTCAGCCAACTAGCTCCAATCGCCGCCTCGTCTATCCTGTCTCTATTTCTAATTTCAAGTATATAACTTGCCATGCCCTAGTTGTTTTTGTGCCAACCCACAAATGTTGTGGTACTGCTGGCTTTGTTTAGGTTAAATGTTGAACCACAAACGTTTGTTGTTTGGCACAAAAGACTAGGGCATAGCAGGTCATTGACTTGGTATTATATATAGAAAGAGGATAGAAACAGTGGAAGCTAGATCTAGTTGGCTAACAATAGTCGTGATTCAAGGATCACGTTTAAGATCAAACACGTATATTGTTAGCCAAATAGCTTTAGTCTTTCCTGTTTCTATCTGTAATACTATGTCCATCGCTTCCTACGTCCTGGTCTCATGTGTGCCAACCCACAAATGTCGTGGTTCTACTTGCTTTGATAAGGCTCACTGAAGATGTATCTTTGCTTCTGATTCTTCCTTTCTTATCTCCTTGCGATCTCTTTTTTAAAAATTAAGGATATTATTTTGTTCCAGTCGTCTTCTTTTTGCTGATCTTCCTGTTGCCTGATATTCTCCTAGTTTGTTTGGGCAATATGCAAAGTTTTCGCTGATCCTGCCTTCTTCAAGTCTCATTTTCATTAAATTTCTCTCAGTCAGTATATCAATGGCCTCTCGGATCTTACGTTTTCTCGTACCATATCCAGCCACCCTATCGGTCGAATTCCAATCGATTTCATGCCCCGTCCGTGCAATGTGTTCCGCTATTTCTGATATTTGTGATCCATGTTCCTGCAGAGTCTTTGATGTTCCTTGATTCGTAGGCCGATTTTTCTTCCTGTTTCACCTATATATTTCTGCTCACAGTTGTCGCATTTGATGCGATAAACTCCCGAGCATTCAAGTTTGTCAGTCTTCTCGTGCTGCGTCGGCAGACGGCTGAAAAGTGTTTTCTTCTCCTTTGTTATCATCTTAATATTCTATTTTCCTAGTAAAGGTCGCAATTGTTGGCTCAGTTGTGATGAGGACAAACAGATCCACTTTTGATTGTTATCCTCATTCCTGATCTGATTTTCATAAAATCCAAGTTGTCCTGGGTTTCTGGCTATACATATTTTGTGCGTGTGATGCTCATTAGCTAGGTCAAATTTTATCAATTGGTTATTGCGGCCTGTCGCTATTCTTTGTGTAGTATCTACTGCAATTTATTTAATGTTTTCAAAGCTGGCTCGGCATTACTTCATCAGATTCAGATAACATTGCGCCAAAGACTTCGTTGCTTGAATCAACAATCAGCACCACAATGCATTTTTCCTACGAATTTCAATGAGACAAATTTATGAAATAATTATATCAGATTTTCCACTTGAAATCAAAGTCTGATGACGCAAAAATATTAAGGTATTCTTAATGCTAGACATTTTTTTATATTATTGCGGATATTGCTGTTTTTATATATTATTTCTAAAAGAAGTGAGCAAAGTAATGTAATCCCCATAGTAGGTAATCCTACTGTGAGCATTTATTTCAGGGCCATATCTAAGGAATAAAATTCTCCATGTTCAAGATTATTTGCTTTTTACTATTGTCTTCATCGTTCATCATAACCAAGGCTGCCTTCTTGATTATTCTGTAATCAGGTGGAAGTATTAAATTAAACGTCCTCAAATTTTGCCATCAGTAAAGATGCCGAATATTTTTTGGCAGAACGTCCTGGTCTGTAATCGCTCAGTAACTCTTTTAGGCAGTAGATGTTTCAGGAGCTATTAATATTTTGTTTGCAGCACCAGGAGCCTGAGATTTATTGTTAGATGTGTTATTGGACTGAAAGTGAGTTTAACTACGCTGTATTAGCTCTTGGGGATGCATTTCGCAGTGAAGGTCGAGAAAAAATTAATCCTATCATCAAATTGTTTTAGGCAACTTAACTTTTATTACAATAACGCGTAGTTTGAAAATAGTACTCATCTTCAATTTTCATTTCATGATTCTCTATGCTTAGCACTCTATCTCAGAGAGATTTAATACCTGCTTAATGTGGACCCATTTACTTTTTCTCTCCTTTAACCTATCTCTTCAAGGCGTCTCATAGAGCAGCAATATCGTGCCGAGACACTCTATCTGGCGCACAAGAAGAAGTTACTTCTTCTCACAAGCTCAGATTCACTTGATAACAATTCACCCTGTCGCTCAAGCGACGATAGCCCTGGCAGTTGTGCCTCCGTGATCACTGCTGGAACTGCCGATAGCCAGGTAATCCGAGCTGATAAAGTTGGTGATGTCTGTTTATCTCAGGATGGCAGCAGGGATATAATGACAGGTACAAAAGGGTATGGAGAAATGTCTGATCAAGAAAAAGCGCGTGCCGAAAAAGTGGAAATGCTTGCACATCACAAGGAAAGCTTGGAGGCGCTAAAAGCCAGCATTACGCCAGCCGAAAGGCAACAACTAGCTGTAGTTGTAAATACCATTTCTAGGTGAGTCACTTCCGCGTTCAGCTTATTTTGATAAGCCATATATTTAGAAGTAGAGAGAACAGTTCAATTACTCTATGACTCTACCTAAGTAGATATGTGGCTCCAGGCGTAATAGCTCTTGTATTCATTTAATCTCAAAGTGGAATAATTCTTATCCTTGGGTAAAGTTATAGAAACATTGAAAATTTAAACTATAATAAGTAGCTAGGCAAGCCATCTATTAATCTTGGTAGTGAATAAGCGTAAACAAGTCTTGTTGTTGGATGGTAGTAGGGGAAGCGCTTTTCTTAATTTTCTACCAGCGCAGCTCTTCCGAAAATGATCAAATAGCTATCTGAGGTGTAAAGTGATTCGGTTAGTTCAATTCCTATTTAACTCTAAAAAAATGTGTCTTTGTTATTTGAGCCTATGTATTTTACGTATATGCACGAAACCAGCAATAGTAGCCCGAAGTAATTAGACTAGAACGTAAAATCTATCCTTGGTCATCAAAGTTTAATGTCTTCCATCTTGCCCTATTACATTTTGACCACCACTGATTGTGAAATGTCGGGCACAAATCTGGTTATGTTTATGATCATTTCGTCTGTCTGTGAGAGAGTGAACTAACGTATTTAAAATGATATTGTAATTATAACCATTAACGACAAAGGATTAGTTGAGTTGCAGTAGTTCTTATTATACTTTTTATCAGTATTCCTGACATTCACTTTACCGCCATATCTGGATGCGGGCATGCCATAATCGCCAAATTTGAGAATCCATTTTATGTCCAGTGTCTGCCATATGTTCCGCCTCTAGGCGCACTTTTGTGCGGAACCATTCTGTAGAATGGGACGACAAGTCTCTAAAGTAATAGCATACATTTTGTGTGGCAGTCTGAGCTATATAATCGATCAATCCTTTCGCTAAACGTGAGCAAAACTAAAGAGTGTCATGTCTTCTTTAAAAATCATTTTATTTATTACTTCCTTACTTTTTCCTGCATGAAATGAAATTAAATAAATGATTAAGGGTCTGTTTATTTCAAACCTCATATATTCGTCATCTGAAAATTAATTCCTTATCAATCTGCTTTTATTTTTAATTAAGTCTAGGTGATAATTGTTTTCTATCACTGTTTGAATCTATCTAGTTTATTATTACAATAATCTTTATCGGTCATGTAATATAAACCCTTACCCCATACAACGACTAGAATCCTTCATCACATGCGAATTAGGGCAAGTAAAACTCATATTCTCGATTCACTACAAGTCTCGGAACCTACTTTCTATAAATATGAGTAACGTAATCGACTGTAATGGCAAAATACACATTTGATCAAAAACTTGGTTTCGAAGACTTTTTTTCTAGATTTATGTTGGTTTATCCTTCATATCGTTTGTAGAGGCTAGTGGAATTGATCCGTAGATAGGCTACCGCGTGGGACGAAAGGAGTTAGAGTTGCTGCTAGAATAGTAAGAGTAAGTCTTCGGCACACTGTCCCACAATTCTCATCTGCGTTGAGTTTTCTTCTATCATATGGCAGACATTGTCAGATAAGGAAGCCACGCTTAAAGATAATTTACTAAATACGAAGACGAATCACAATTCCAAGACAATCCTTTAGCCTCTGGTGGAACTTATTTCGAACTCCTTCCACTCCCCTCATTGAACCAAATAAGGGTACATTGGCATAATATTACAAATTTGCCTCATCTATAATCCCACCATAAATGTGTTGTGAGACATCTGGCCTTAAAATTAACTTATATACGTACCCTAAAAGAAAGTTGTCATTCAAAGTAAACTGCCGCTTTCTTTTTTTCTTAACTGGATTCGAGCCGTTAACTAGTGGACTAAGATGCAAAAATGGTTACCCCTTTAGCCACAATAAAAATATTACTTTAATATTAACTAAGTATCTTTCGAATAATATTTTTTAAGGAATTTCTTACCGAAAGCTGGCCGTAACGACATAAGAGTGAGGTGGGCACATACAGGTTCATTAACCTTGAGCTAAAATATAGTATTTGAATAGATTTTGTTTGACCTTGATTTCGCAACTCGTTCATATTGTTAGGAAGGCTTAGAGAAACGCACCTTGTCCGGAGTCCATTGTATGCATCATCATTTCCAGAGTAGAACCGTGGACGTGGTACATTCCCAGACGTTTCGCCGGCATCCTAGTCGGCATCATCAGTGAGTCTCGCCATTCTTAGCACCATTCAACAACTTTGACCAAACGTGTGCTAAACAGTTGTGGTATCTCCCCTTCTGCCCTGGGCTGTTCACTTTCCTATATCATCCTATCACACCTTCCATGTCACAATTTTTTACCGTGCTTATTTTGATGTAGTGTGGTGAGCTTCTTTGAGCGGCATTCATGAAAACCCTTCACACTCCACGCTGGCGTTCCCACCCCCTTCATCCTTGTGCTGGGTTTGTTGATTAGAGTCTGTCATACTGTTACATAGTCCTTCCCTGAGCCTATCAAGGTCTCCCTCTTACCCCGTAAGATCCGTCTAATCTCGCTGATTCACATATTTCACTCGACCCCTACCACCCCATCTGTGTTGCTCGAGGCGTTATTAGTCCTCCCTCTGCGTCTGAGTGATTAATTTGAGGCTAAAACCTCTGAGTAAGTCTCATGATCCTGCCTTTTCTACATGGACCACGTTTATGGTAAAAACAGATCTACGGTCAGTCAATTAACTCTCATCGCCGCTGCGTCTATGCTATTTCTATCTGTAATACCAAGGCTATGACTTCACAATCCCTAGTCTCTTGTGTGCCAACCAACAAAGGCGTGATAAGAGGGTGTAGGAAATGTGAATAGGCCAGATCAGAAGGGGAGGTACCATAACTATTTAGCACACGTTTTTTCAAAGGACCGGCTTCACTTGTCTATTTGACGAGTTGTAATATGGTGGCACGAATAGTAAAACTCACTGACGATGCCGGCGAAACGTCTGGGAATGTACCACGTCCACGGTTTGACTTTGGACATGATTATGCATACAATGGACTCCGGACAAGTTGTGTTCCTCTAAGTCTTCCTACCAATATGACCAAGTTGCGAAAACAAGGTCAAACAACTTCTTTACAACGAAAGGAGACTGCGACCACACAAAAGGCCACACCATCTTGGTCTTCATACCTTCGATTATAGTATTTGAAGATAAATGGCTTACAAACATTGCAAGGCTCACTGACGATGCCGGCGAAACATCTGGGAATAAACCAAGTCCACACTCCGATCATGAAAATTAGCATGTATATTATGAATTCCGGACAGGATGCGTTATTCTAGGTCTTCCTGCTAAGATGATAAATTTGCGAAAACTAGATTAAACAACTTCTATACAACGCAACGAGATTGCGACCGTACAAAAGGCCACACCATCTTAGTCTTCATACCTACAATGACATTTGTTGAACATTTTGTTAGATGCATCCCACTGTCTTGATTTTTTTCCTTATGCAAATATTGTGCTTTTAGATTCAATTTACTTTTAAATAATGCTTTCTAGATTGCTTTAAACTACAACGAATTTTATCTAACTTATTTATTTTAATATGGCTGTTTTTACTTATATAGCCATTTTAAAAGAATATATAAAAATGCTTCTAACTTTACTCTTCCAAAAAATTTTAGATGCGTTTCTTGTGAATGGGAAGCTCACACCGCCTGGTTTGTCGCGAGTCTCTATCTTCGCCTTCATTGCTAGCAAACGTCCTATCAATTACAGTTTCCTACCTTTTCACATTTTGCCAATGATTATTCTCGTTCCTAGAGAGGAAATCTCTGTTTTTATTTTGAACTACGGCATCCAGGACCCTATATAACAAATATACCTCTTGTTCACTGTTACCAAATCTCGCCTTATTACCCTGAAACTAATATTGAATCAAGAAATTTGTTAGGGATCCACTACTTTCTTGCATTAATCTGCTATAAATGCTTTGCAAATGCATAACTGGTTGCAACAATGAAATTAAGGCAAAGCCAAATGATTCCATTGGATTTCACTTGGTCCACCCTCCCTGTATGATTGTTATCATTTTAGTTTTGCTTGTTTTCGTGTTGGTGCGTTTTTGTATCCTATCAAATAATCTGTAGAAACAATAGTCAATGACGTATTGTTG